CACAAAGTCGCAGCGAAGAAGAATAAAAGAATGAAAAATTCGACTTGTGGGCACTTAAGTTGGTGGATATAAGGCGCATAATAAATTATCAATACCAAAAAAAAAAAATTAAAAGGTTTTCAAATTCCAAATTTTAATAAAATTATTATTTGGACACAGATCAAGTAATTTTGAAAGCTACTTACTAAAAAAGTAACCTAAACATCCATCTGTTATATAAAAAAAACCCTGAAAAACCCTGGAAAACCCTGAAAAACCCAGCACAGAAAATATTGAACATGACAAGAGAAACTCATAATTATATTAATTGTATTATTATAATTATTGCGGTAACTCTCCCTCATTTTTTGTGCATCAATCTATCAGAGAATGAACATTTACCTATAGTAGTAAGATGCACAGAAGAAAATCATGAAATGACTTTGTGGAAATTCGAAACCGATTGCATCTACTAATCATAATTATTATTATAGAAACTGAAATGTAAGTAGATGGATGCATTGTCTCGTGCTCATTGCTCATGTATTCATGTATGTGATTGTTGTCCATCTTATTCCATATCATGCACATCTGAGCATTAATAACTATTAATGCCACAATGATTTTACACGAAAGTTATTCAAATAAAATTCAATTCCAGTAGATAGCTTTATTAACTCGCTAAGTCAAGTGATACAGAAAAAAAAATGAAGAGAAGAGATTTTATAAAGTATCATGAAGAGACTAACTAGATGCTTTATGAGTCTCTGACTAACAAAACGTACGTGCCAAACAGTAATCGGAAAATGTATGCTAATTTAACTTATTCATTTGGCTACTGATTTTTTTTTTTTGAATAGTCAGAATTTTAGTCTCAAATATAAATATTCTATGGTACTTGTTCCAGAGAATTTAACATGTGGATTTACGCGAAACAGAACCAGGATAAATTTACTCTTCTGCTTTTCTTTGATTCTGATTTACAAATAAAAGTTTATGTCTTAAATAATAAAATATGAAATCTTGTCACGTAAGAAATTTCTTTTTTGCTTCCAACTCTCTTTTTTGACTCGTTAGCTATAAGGTGAAATGAGGCAAAGGCGTGATAGTGTCAATTGATGATTTTTTTTTTTAAATTCATTAAATGACAATTCTCTTTCCTTTGTTTATTTCTCTATCCGAGCATTTTAGAGCTCATAAGAATTCTTCCAGTGAATTTCTTATTTTTGATTCATTAGAAGAGGTCAATGAATTTTTTACGACAGTGGAAGCAGGTTGAAATTCGATTCAGGAAATCATCCAGCACACACGAACGACACCTCATGATTTTCAATTACTCAAAAAAAGACGACAACAAGCAACTGAAAAGTATTTTCTTTCTTCTTTTCGTTCGTTAATTTACAAAATTCTCAAGCATTACGTTTGAAACTTTATGCAAAACGATTCTCACTTGTCTTTTGTTGTTCATGTGATGCCCTTATGAAAAGAAACTATTGTAAGCGGATGTTTTCATGTAACAAATCGAGTCATATTCAAGATTATAGATACACACTTATTATATTTTTCAATTCTGAAAATAAAAAAGTTTCTAATGAATTTTATATTCTCTGTTAATGGTTTTAAATGCTTTTATTTCTTCATTAAATTTGACTTTTTTGAAGTATTTTAGAACGGGATCGGGAGATTTCTGTTTTTTCTTCAAAACATCATCATGACTCGTCCAGCCAAATTTTACAACTCTGATATTTAGCATATCGTGACGAATGGTAAAATAGCATCATAGTGCTCTTTTTCTTGTTACGAAGTTCTGTTTTTGTGTTGGATGCAGTTTTGACTTTTTTGGCACATAGCGTGTCTTCTTTGATAGGTAAACTAAGATCTGGATGAATTTATTACGAAGAATTACAGCATCTTGAGCTCACGAATTGTGAGGATGAACTGAGAATGAACATTTAATAGTCAGCCTCACCTTATATACATTTATAAACATTTTGTCATCACATTTGTTTTTCAATCTTTTAAAATTCAATACTCATTAAATTGCAAAACAATCAAAACCTTAATTGGCAATTTTTTAATTCATTCTGTAGCCTGTGGCAATGAATGCTACACACTCGACTTGATGATGATGATGATGCCATTGTTGAGATTATCGAGTATAAGTTTTTATTTATATTCGTTTATTGAAGAAGATTAAACGAATCACGACTTGCCATTTTGTAGTTTTGTCATTGGTGATGGAAGTGATTGGTTTTGAATTTTAAATGATTCTTTTTTTATTTCCATTCATTCACATAAACGTGCATATTTGTTAACGTAGAAAACGACGACGATGAAGAAATGAAACATTGAAGATTTCTCTAAATGGATGGCAGTTTCTTATGCGACCTGATTGACCATCACATTGCTTTATTATATAGGTGGAGCTAAACAAATGATATTTCAAATCACGCAATTTCACTCCATAAATGAATGATTGAATTATTTGTTGAGAAGCATAACGGTTGATGCATGTATGAATATGATAATATCAGCACATATATAATTTTTTTTGACTGATTTCTCTGAACATAATTGATATTCAAATGAACACACAAAGGCACACAACTTCCATTCGCGTTTCTCTTGAAATCAATTGTTTGACAACATTTTTCTCTCATTTTATTTTCTTTTAAGGTATGCGCATTTTTTATTGCATGAAACGTGCATTTTGGGATATCTAAAAAGAGCATTTTAAAGATCACGAATTGATCAATACTATAGACAATCATCAATCAGAATAGCTGAGAGATGTAGTAATTAGTTTTAACTAATTTAAAGTTTAATTCTGGCATCAACTAAACGTTCAATAAATCAATTCTGTCTATATACTCATGAGATTCGTGTTCTGCACTTCTCACAATCGGAGCAAAAAAAAGAATTTTCATCATTAATCAGTCGATCACACTTGTATCTAGAATGTAACTCCGCAAAGTTTTTAGGAACTTTGAAAATTGTTTTAATTAAGAAACGTCACTGGCAAATTTAGAAAACACTTATTAATGTAATAAGTTTTAAAAGATATGAAAATTTTTATGATGAAATTTCATTCTCCTAAAATTGGTTTTGCAAAGTTTTAGGAATTGAAAATATTTCATGGACTGTAAACTCAGTGAACCTATTCAATATGAACTAAATTGATAGCTGTAAAATCCTGCCACAAATTTGTATATAGAATACCACAGAGTTTCACGTAAAATGCGTTCTAGCTCTTAAAAAAGCTCAAATCCACCCCAACTTAATTAAGTTTTTCTATCTTTCACATTTTGCAATTTGTTTCTCCCTTAAGTGAAGAGAGTTAAGTAAAATTTTATCACGCACATAAAAAAAAAGAAGTAGCTCTGAAAATTTACATTAAAGAGAGAGAAAAAGTAGCAGATTTCCATTTGAGGCAAATTTTTATTTGACCAACAAAATGAACCAATTTAAGTACGGAGGTATTCAGGAGAATGATGAATTAGGTAGTCTAAAATTAAAAAAAAAAGAAAATCAAAATGATGATAAATAAATTTATTATGATTTTCAGTACAGCATTTATATTATTTATTCATCATAAAAAATTCGAACTACATGAAACCAATCTATGTAAGGATCAACGACCTTCGGACAGAAGCGAAAATACCGTCCATAGAGGACCACGTCTGAAAGTTTCAAAACAGCGAAACACACAAATTAAAACAAAATTTAAACGAGAAATGGCAAAAAACCTTATAAATCTTAAAAACTAAAAAAATGCATCAAAACTTTGTAGATAGGAATTTTAATTTAAAAAGCTTAATTAAAAAAAAAGTCAAGTAATTATTTTATTTAATACTTAAATTATGTCAAGAACAGTCACGTTTAAAACATCGGTACTGCCAAAAAAAATTAATGAATCACTGCCGCACCCAAAAAAAAATAAAATTTTCCAACCATCCGCAAAAAATTCAACCCTCCTGTATATTTATTGAATGTACCAATCCCACAAGTCTTTATACATAAAATAAAGAGCAGCTCATCATCCATAAAATGTGAGTAGAGAAAAAGATGAGTCGGATGTAAAAAAATGTAATTTTCGCTTACGTCACGTCACTTAAGGGAGACGAAAATGTTCTTTGTTGACCACACCCTAAATATGTAATGTGGAAAATTTTCCCTCATTTCCCATTCCCTTTTCGTACTGAAAAAGCAATTTCTTTTTTTCTGGTTTCTTCTTTCTTCTTCCATCACGATAAGAATGTTTGTAAAAAATGAAGCTTAATTGGTTTCGTTCACACTGATGCTTTCTATATCGGCAGTGGGAGTGAAAATTTGTTGATTGAAAATCTGATGAAAATCTATTTTCTCCTTTATATTTTCTTTCAATTTTATTGGCTTCTAATTTTATATTTTTTCTCTGAATTTTATGCTTTAGGCATAAAAATGGTTGTGATTTATATACGATCATTACTTTGTTTTAACAAAATAAACTTTATATTATAATTTTTGGTTAAATTATTACCACAATTCATTGGGGATAACATAAAAGTAAAGACATCAAAATAATTTTTTTTCTGACACTCGAAGTTCTTTTGAATTTAAATCAGAACGGAAATTGACTTTTAAACAATGGAAAGAATGCGCGGTATGAGTTTAATGGCCGATAAGGGGATATTCAAGAAAGATGAGAATTGGAAAATGTTCGTAAGTTAATGTCAATTAGTGTAAATTGATAAAGTTTCTTAAAAGAAATTTAAAAATAATTATAGTATGGAAATAATTAAAAATGAATTGATATTTCGTCAACAAATTTAGAACATTAAGTCAAAACCTCTATGAGATCCAAGACTCTCGGTGCTTCCAATAGTAACGTATTTTTGAGATTTAAGCTACTCAAGTAAATTCGTCAAGTTGACTAATACAAACTTAAAAATCACTAGCACAATCAAAATTTTGCATGGTGTTTACAAAGCTGAAAAGAAAAATATTTTAAATTCTTAATTTATTCGGCATTTAAAGACAATATAAAGGATACGTAGTGAATTAATTCAATTTAACATATCAATTAAAGGAAAAGGATCCAGAGGAACGTTTAGCTAAGAAGGAATTTCTCTAATAAAACAAATTTAATAACAGTTCTGCAAAACAGTAGTAAATAATTACCAAAAAATATTTACTAAAATAGAGAAATAGTAAGTATATTAAAACCATTCCTTCATCACAATCAATGAACAATATACAATCAATGAACAATATATATATATATATATATATATATATATATATATATATATATAAATCTTCTTTTAGTCTCTCATATTGTTTAATTAAGACGTAGATATAAAGTAGCTAATAATGGATCCTTCAACATCAAAAGATGAGAAATTGACAGAAACTCAAGTAGAACTTCAAAATTTCTTTCCAAAAGTACTCGAGGAAATTAAGAACATTAAAGTGATAGAGCCTGGAAATCAGTTACTGCCACTTGCGAGGATTAAAAAAATTATGAAATTAGACGAGGACGTGAAAATGATTTCAGCAGAAGCACCATTGTTATTTGCAAAAGCCACTGAGATATTTATCCACGAATTAACTCTAAGAGCATGGTTACATACGGAAGATAATAAGAGAAGGACATTACAGAGAAATGATATAGCAATGGCTATAAGTAAATATGATCAATTTGATTTTCTCATTGATATCGTACCAAGAGATGAAATTAAACCAAAAAAGGAAGCTGATAACAAAGCGACAGTACAGGAAGTATTTTATGTGCAAGCACCAACTCAACAGATGCAAACAGTCACTGTTCCTTCAATGCAGTCAAATCAACAGTCAGCAGTACCCCAAACGATACAACTCCCAAATGGCATGCAGGCTACAACAGCACAAACACAGAATATTATCCTTCAAAGTCCTACACAAACGCAAGTTCCAACGAATCTCATACAACTGGCCAATTCTGGTCAGCAAATTCAAATCGTTCAACAAGTCGTAGGACCAAATGGTGAAATATCTCAGATTCCAGTGAGTCCTAAAAACCGTTTCTGAAATTATTTTTTATCCTATCTTTTGTATCTAATCTACAGGTTCAAATGTCACAGCAACAACTGTCAATGCTGAGATCTCAAATGGCAGGAACACCAATGATCGTTCAAGCCCCACAGACAATTTTCCAAACTCAAACAGGACAGAATATTGCCATTCCACTAGCTAATCTTGCACAACAAGGACTATTCATTAATTCACAAACTGGAGCTATTCAGCAACAAGCAACACAAATGCAACAAGCACAACAACAGGGACATATAAAAGAGGAGCAACAATAACAATTAATTGATTTTTTTTAAAACAATTTCCCTTTTCTTGTGTTTTTGACTAAAACAATGTTTAAAGTGATGGAAGTGTTTAAAATTGACTGTAAAAATGTGAATAAATTAAGATGAGGAATTTAAAATTTAAGACTGACTTTTCTTGACTTGATATTTAATTCCATTCTAATTATGGATTTAAATTTCTATCCACAACTATTTATAGGCTATAAAAAAAAATGATCATTGCATCAGGGCAATGTCATCAATCATCACGTACCCTTCATATTTATGAAGTTATGAGAAACATACTCTAAATTTGTTCAATAATTCCCAAATTGAATTTGCAAGTCTTTGTATGAATTCCCGAGTACTTCACCGTGTTGTTCCTTAAGATCGTGATGCAACAAATTCTTGACATTACAGTTTCCTAAACAATTCAGTACTCAATAGTAAGCGAACGAAATTTTAAGAAATAATTACATCACATTTTGAGTAGAACAAGTGATTATCTAACAATAGACATGTCTAAAGCGCGTAGGCAGGGAGGGATTTGGGTTTTGGTTATTTTGCTAGGATTTTTATGAAAAATCTTAAAAAATACCACTTTCCATTCAAAAAATTTTTGTTCTCCACCTTCAAATTTCTGTCTACGCCCCTGACTTGTCTGAACCGAAAATGACAGACAAAAAAAAAGAATCGCAAAAAACCTCGTAATAAGTCTTATGGGACAAGTAAATTGTAATAATTAAGACTGAAATTCATAAGCATAAAATCCATGAAAAACATTTCAATTCCCTTCAGTAACTTTTATGTTCTTGCTGACAAAGGAAGTCTGTTTGAATGTTTGGTTGATAATTGCGAGTGAATTGAAATTAAAAGGAAGCACTACATAGTTAAAGGTGAATAAACAAAGACGAAATTTTTTAAAAAGTCCTACTGTTATTGATCGAGGAACTTTAGTACATTTTTGTGCCCAGCGCAAATAAACCAGCAAAATATGGCATTAACTAACCCTTAAAAACATTTAAACTTGATCAAATTCTTCCGAGCAACACCCCTTCACCATAAAAAAGTGCGTAATAAGTAAACGGCCCGGCCCTAAGTAATTGATGGATTTGCTTTTGAAAAAAATAAACAGTTAGAGCTTTAATCATTAATGAACAAGCTTGTTATAGATTTGCTGAACGGAAACAAAATAAAAAAAAAAAATTATTAATGTATGCATTGTCAAAATTTGGAAACTTTAAAATATTTTAAAAGTAGAGTAAAAATTAATATTCAGCTGAAATACAAACAGCATAGCTCAAATACAGTAGAAAAACCATCAAGAAAATCATTAATTGAATTATCGAACATTCCGTATGCATCTATAGCTAATTGACAATTAGAAAACCAAAATTCGTACACAATGACTGACTTAAGTCAATCTAGTGATTTTCTGTGTCAATCTTTTAATTGAATCAAAAATTTGTGAGATCAGTTAAGTTCCATGAGAATTATTCCGAAGATTTGTGCAAAATTTATTTGTCTGTAATTTCATTTTATAAATTAATATAATAAATGTGACAAAAGTGTGCGGCACATCCAACGCGGGCTTTGTTTGTTGAATTATTTAGATTTAAATGAAAAAATTGCAAATTTCTTTTTGTGCTCGATGCCGGCATGAATTACATTTTTTAAATCTGATTTATAACAGAACAGACTGATATTTTATGGGTCAAATAGGAACTGACTGTTTCCAGTCAAATGTAAATTAAATTTCGTCGTTAAAGTGATATGCTTAGACTGAGATTTGTTTTGTTTCTGATTGTTCTGATTGTCTCTTATCAGGTATTTAATAGTTATGAAATGACATTAGCAGGCATCAACCGTTGAGAACAAACATGGGATTATTATAAAATATTCAGTTTAATGACTGATCTGACTTATCGATAGTTTAGTTCAAAGTTTCATAACTGTTTTATGGTTTTTAAATGATGACTGAGTATTATTAGCGTACTTTGAATTTTCCTAATACTATTGTGAATTAATTTGCTTCTAAGCAGTTTAAGTTTGTAAGCTAGCTAAAAACTGAATCAAAGCTTTGATACATTTTAGATTCTGATTACAAAGTTTAAATTTTTAAAATCTTTGTTCTCATCACGATTCAGGCATACCTGCAAGTCAACAATAAAATCTTTTTTTTCTGGAGCATTCTTTTTGATTAATTTAATGTTATCACATGTTTCTTTTTCGTAAATCTGATAAGAAAATGAAACTGGAAATGAATAAACTTGCAAAGCAATGCCAAATCATTCATTTTAGTTTAATGAAACTAACCTACCTTCTAGTATGTGTTTAATTTTTTTAATTACGCGAGATTAAGTTTTTTTAAGAAGCAATTGTTAAGAAGCAATTATTCTTTGGAAATTTTTAAATATTAAAACAAATAAGCCTTATTCGACCCATTTACAAGTCTAAGATAATTTAAAATAATATAATAATATAATAATATTAATAATAACAATAAGATTCCTATGATTAGTATAAATGTAATTTAATAATTTAACAATAATCAAATATTGTATGTCATAATTGAAGACCCATAAGATATCCTTCATAAATTCAAATTTTCTTTTTTCACCAAATAGTGCATCATTATTCTTATGTAAACCATTACGCAATCGTTCAAAACTATATTCGAAATGTGAAAAAATTCTTGTGAAAGTAGCCTCCCTAATACTTTTATTCTCTTTTGGGTTCCTTAATAAATATTGAAATTGTGTTATACTTCAAGACGTACCCATTTGTGTTTAAAGTTTCCCTTATTAATGATTAATTACAGCAAATTTTACGTAAAACGAAATTTAAAGTCATGAAAGTTCATGACGATAAGAAAACCTTGAAATAACTCCGTTGAAATTGTTGATGAAAAGTTGTAGTCTGAAAGATTGTAAAACACAATACCTAATCTTATGACTCTGTTTTTGTTCAACTTTTGACATGATTATTCTAAATCATTCATATTTATTAGGTCAAATTAAATTATTTAAAATCATATCCACAAGTGTACTATCAGAACTTAAACATTCTGACGCACATATACTCGCTTCATATGTATAATTCAACTTACTTTTACCTGTTTTTCCCCAAATTTTCACCATTAGATCGAGACTAAAAACTTTTATAATCGCTTTCCAATTTGTTTCCGCGTGAACCTTTTTTTTTTTTTGATAAGATAAAAGTGTGTGAGTTCAAAAAAAGAAAACGTTTGGGCGAATCCAACGATTATAATTTTACCTAATTTTCTTGAGTTTTATTTGCTATATAAATACATCGATGCACTCGATAGAACTAGACAGTTTTGGGATATAAAGTGCAAAATTCATGTTAAAAGACTTAAAATTTGAAAATATATAAAAAAAAAATTGAATTAAAACATTTAATGTTTCTTACAGATTTTCCCATTCGTTTTATTTCGTGTGTATATGATGATAATGCTTTATTCTTCTTTTCATTTTCAGAACAACATTCAACGGGTGCAGATGAACAACGAGCAATAGTAATAATAATAAAAAAAATGATCAAAAAATGTTATAAAAAAGTGTTAAGCAAGTGTTTAGTGAGAATTTGTAATTAAATTAAAAGAAATCTTTTAATGAATGGAACTCATAGGTCTTAGTGACAATTTGTGATTTTAAGCAATTCTATTTAGTGTTTAAATAGTGAAATAATAAAACAATGAACTGTAAAAAATTTTTTACTCGGTATGGACAATTCATTGCAATTTTCTTTGGAATTTCCTCAATAATTGCCGGAATTTTGTTTATGTTGTTTTTCCCGTCTATGTTTGACAAAATATTTTTCAAGGTGAGTCAAACATGTTGATAAGAACTCAAGTGCTTGATTAGAAGCTACACCTGTGATTTTGAAATTTTGTCATTCTACGCGCAATTTTGTACTATTTATATATCTTGGAAATTTCATAAGAGATAGTCATCAGAAAGTGAGAATTTCCGACCCACCCACCCTTAAATGGGGTCAATAAATTTTAAGGTAGAAGAGTTGTGTTTCCTATATATTATAATTTTGATAAAAATCATTTCTAAATGACTCCTATATACTGTCCGCGACTGTTTGTTTAAGATAAGAAATAAATTAATTAAAAGATCCTTTGAAGGAAGAATATAAATAAAATATGAAAAAAGGTGCTTGCTGTTTCATAAAGTGTACGAGAATTTATCTCTTTGATCGTTTTAAGACCGAGAACTTGAAGTGGAATAGCTGCTTAAGATAGGGGGAGTGAGATTGTAACTTCTTACTCAATCGAACCATAACAAGTGTTTTTTAAAGAAGACAAAAACACTGTTTATTCAGCTTTATCATTGCTTCCAACAGAATTTTTCATTTCTTGTTATTTTTTGCCGGCAAATTGTGTTGTGAATGTATTCAAGGCTGATTGAAAAAATTTAACGATTTAAAATGTCAAAAATATTTTTAAGTCGCTTAATGTTTAATACTTCACTTATGCCTTTTAAGGAAATACATAATATTGATATTTTTTTCACTTTTTTAATTAAAACATCTTTCAGCAATTAGCACTACAGGAAGGGTCAAAAAGTTATGAATACTGGACATCACCACCACAACCTCTCTATTTAGATGTATACTTATGGAATTGGACAAATCCAGAAGAATTTACAAATAAATCAATAAATCCACACTTTGAGGAAGTTGGACCGTTTAGATTTCAAGAGATTCCAAAAAAGGTCGACGTGAAATTTCATAATAACAATTCCACCGTTAGTTATCGGAAATCAAGTCAGTATTTCTTCATTCCAGAACAAAGTAAAGGTCGAATGAACGATGTCATAACATCTATTAATGTCATAGCTCTCGTAAGTTTTTTTTCAGTATTTATTTGACAGGTTTTTCATAATTCTAAATTATTTCAAAAGTCTGCTGCATCACGTGCAAAATACTGGGGATTTCTTGGGACACGAGCAATGACATTTGGTTTTAAATTATATAATGCAAGTTATTATGTCACCAAAAGTGCCGGCGAGTGGCTGTTTGATGGATTTGAAGACCCAATGATTGATAGTGCCAAAAACAATCCATTCATTACGAACATTCCAATGATGTTTGACAAATTTGGGTGGTTCTATAAGGTGAGTTAATGTGAAACATTAGAGACCCTGCTTACGTCCATTATTGCATTCACTCTTGCATTTAAATCACTTGCATCTCCATGTTATAGAAAAATAACACAGACATAATGTTGGGAGATTTCAACGTGGATACAGGTGTTGAGGACATTAGTAAAATTGGAAATATTCGATTATGGAATCATGAGTCACAGACAGAATTTTATGAAGGTCGATGCGGCAAGTTGACTGGTTCGGGTGGTGACTTTTTCACTCCAAACATCACAAAAAATGATGTCTTAGAACTTTTTTCACCTGAAATGTGCAGAAGCATTCCGATGGATTTCGAGGAAGAGGTCACAATTCACGGAATAAAAACATTAAAATTCAGTGGAGGCGATCGTGCTGTTGATAAGTATGTAAATTCATTGATAATGTGCAACTTTGTTTGATTTTTTTTTTACTTTACTTATATTTTATTTGTACACAGCGGAACTTTGTTCCCTGAAAATGAGTGTTTCTGTTCTGGTGAATGTGTACCGCGAGGACTGTTTAATGTGTCATCTTGTCGATATGGAACTCCAGTTTTTATGAGTTTCCCACACTTTTATTATGCTGATGAGTTTTATCACCGTCAAGTTGATGGAATGTCGCCCGATAAAGAAAAGCATAAGTTCTTCATGGCATTTGAACCTGTAAGTATGCTTTATGTGGTTCATGACAAGCAAATAGTTTTGACAGGATGGATTTATTTTATATCCACACTAAATTTTCAATTTGATGAATATATTGCTTTTAGAAATGTAGTGAAATCGCAAAAAAATTCTGTATGTAAGTTAATCGGAGCGATAACTCGATTTAAACTCAATATTAAACCTTAAAGTTTTTTTGCTTTTAACAGAACTGTATTGTTTTTGGAGTCTTGAGATGCTTCCAGTGAGGCAAAACATTCAAAAATAGTTTTTCAATATTTTTTTTGGGGGGGGGGGGGGCATTTTTTGTTGGAACGGAATTATTTGCAACGGATTTTTTTGGAAAACAATTATTTGGAAAATAAATTTTTGGACATTATTTATTTGGAAAATAGATTTTTGGAAGTGAAAATATTTGGAACGGAATTTTTTGGAATTTTATTAATTGGAAATAAAACTATTTGGAACGGAATTTTTCGGAATATAATTTTTTGGAAAATATTTTTTTGGACGTGGAAACATCTGGAATGTAATTTTTGGGAATCGTAAGAATTTGTAAATAAAATAATTTCAAGTAGAAAAGGTTACAATACTTAAAGAAAATATAGAAAAATCTGTATTCGAACCTTTGACCATAAATTGATAAATTTTTTCTTAGATTATCTAGTTAAGACATTTCCAGTATTTTTAATATTTTTTTGTTCAAGGCAAAAGGATGTATAAGTACTGTCGTTGATAACGACACACTTATTTAATTTAATTTGATTTATTATATCCACACCGTTTTCACGTGTGAATCTATTGGTTTTGTTCAGATTGAAAAATCAGTTTTTTGAATTTTTTGAGGTATGGAGCAAGATAAATAAAATGTTCAGAGATGAAAAGTTTGTGCCTTGAATTTCACATCTTTTGCAAAAAACAGATTTCAAATTGGTTATGGCATTGCTGAGAAAATCGCAAAATATGCTTTCTGTAAGCAAGCAAACAAGCAAACAAGCAAGTTAATCAGCAAGAAATCTCAATAACGAGACATCGTAGAGACTTCTAGTTTTTTACATTTGATCCGTGCTGCTCTATAGAAGAGCTGTATTGTTTTTGGGCAAGGTAGGAACAGCCGTTGCTTCAGATAAAGCAAAAAACTTTCCTTTCTTACGAATTTTTCAAAAAAAAAGTTTACTGTGATTTTTATAAAATTCAACTTTTGACGTAAAGCTTTAGACCTTCAAACTTGTGCTGAGCGAAGCTCAGTTGACTTGTCAAGCTTAATATCTTCATACTAATGCTGGGCAAATCTTGGACTATCCATAAGACTTTTGATGGTACGATGTGAATATATCCACATTGGGTTTCTGCCCGATACACTAGAATGTAATGGTTTTTTACAGAGATCGAAGCCGATTTTTTCGGCTTAACTCAATTTTTGATTTTTTTGATAGAAAAAAGCCATTTAACACCCATTTTAAGTATTTAAATTGAACTTTACATGCTTTACTATGATTCTGTGAAATATTTTTTCAGCATGTAGCTATAGTGAGCTCAGAATTTCAAGTTAAAGAATGTTAAGCCGAAATTTAAGCCGATCGGATTAAAATCGACTAAATTGAAATTCAGAGCTTACTATAGCTACATGCTGAAAAAATATTTCACAGAATCATAGTAAAGCATGTAAAGTTCAATTTAAATACTTAAAATGGGTGTTAAATGGCTTTTTTCTATCAAAAAAATCAAAAATTGAGTTAAGCCGAAAAAATCGGCTTCGATCTCTGGTTTTTTAAAATTTGAATTTTGTTCCATTTTTCGTGTGAACATCCATAAGTTCATTCAATTTCAGTTGATTTTATTGAACATTTATTAATTAAGCAATTCTGCAAATAGATTTATAGTTGCAGCGAAATATTAATCTACAGTAATTAAATAATAATTATAAATATAATTTATTTTATTTCGCTTCACCTTTGCTTAATGGTAAAAAGTTGTTATATCCTTTTGTCATGAACAAAAAATTAATAAAAATACTGGAAATGCCTTAAATCTAAGAAATATTTTTAAATTCATTATCAAAGGTTCAAGTACTGATTTTTCTATATTTTCTTTAAGTATTGTAACCTTTTCTACTTGAAATTATTTTATTTACAAAATAATCTGTTCGATAGAACTGAGCTAATAAAACAAATCCGAGCTCTCTACGATGTCTGGTTGCAAAGTTTTTACCGTTCCCCAAGCATCCAAACAAAGCGTATTATTAAGCTACCTTTTCGAAAAAAGTTTCAAAAATGCGCTAAAAACCCGCCATTTTTGTACAGTTTTAGGTTTAAACATTAAAGATGAATTTCTATCATTGGTGTAAGATTCCTATGAAGCGTGATCGGCTTCAATACTAGTTTTTTATATTCACACCGTTTTCACGTGTGAATCTATTGGTTTTGTTCAGATTGAAAAATCAGTTTTTCGCATTTTGTGAGAAAACAAAGCATTATTGGTTATAAAAGGTCACAGAAGAAAAGTTTGTGCCTGAAATTTTACATCATTTTCAAAAAACAGATTTCAAATTGGTTGTGGCATTGCTGAGAAAATCGCAAAATACGCTTTCTGTAAGCAAACAAGCAAGCATGTAAGCAAGCAAGCAAGTTAATCAGCAAGAAATCTCAATAACGAGACATTGTAAAGACTTCTAGTTTTTTATATTTGATCCGTGCTGCTCTATAGAAGAGCTGTATTGTTTTGGGCAAGGTAGGAACAGCCGTTGCTTCAGAAAAAGCAAAAAACTTTCCTTTCTTACGAATTTTTCACTTTTTTCTTCGAGGGTTTATCCAAATGGATTGAAACTTTGCATAAATGTTCTAGTGCTTAAAAGAAATACAAATAAAACATTCTAAAATTTTTTTGAGTAAAGAACCAAGTAGGAAATACATTTTCAATTTTGGACTAGGGGCGACCCTAGTCAAAATCAATTTTGTCACTTTTTTCTTCGAGGGTTTATCCAAATGGATTGAAACTTTGCATAAATATTCTAGTGCTTATAACAAATACAAATTAAACATCCAAAAAATTTTTTGAGCAAAGAACCAAGTAGGAAATACAATTTCAATTTTGGACTAAGGGCGACCCTAGTCAAAATCAATTTTCTCACTTGTTTCTTCGATGATTTATCAAAATGAATTGAAACTTTGCATAAATACAAAACAGTTTTAAATATCTAAAGCAAGAAATGTATTCTATATGTCGTCAGACCCAAATTTTATAAATTTGGTTGGACATTCAAAAACAACGTGACTTAATATTTTGTCCAAAAAAATGATTTTTATTAATTCAGAAATGTGTGACCTGAAGATTAGAATGCTCATACAAAGTTTTACTGTATTTGGATTTATCCTCGAAGTAAAAAGTGAAAAACTAGATTTTGACTGGGCCTGTCCCAAGTTCATAATTGAAAATGTATTTCCTACTTGGTTCTTTGCTGAAAAAAATTTTAGAATCTTTTATTTGTATTTGTTTTAAGCACTAGAATATTTATGCAAAGTTTCAATCCATTTGGATAAATCATCGAAGAAACAAGTGACAAAATTGATTTAGACTAGGGTCGCCCCTAGTCCAAAATTGAAAATGTATTTCCTTCTTGGTTCTTTGCTCAAAAAAATTTTAGGATGTTTTATTTGTATTTGTATTAAACACAACAATATTTATGCAAAGTTTCAATCCATTTGGATAAACCCTCGAAGAAAAAAGTGACAAAATTGATTTTGACTAGGGTCGCCCCTAGTCCAAAATTAAAAATGTGTTTCCTACTTGGTTCTTTGCTCAAAAAAATTTTAGGATGTTTTATTTGTATTTGTTTTAAGCACTAAAATATTTATGCAAAGTTCAAATCCATTTGGATAAACCTTCGAAGAAAAAAGTGACAAAATTGATTTTGACTAGGGTCGCGCCTAGTCCAAAATTGAAAATGTATTTCCTACTTGGTTCTTTGCTCAAAAAAATATTAGGATGTTTTATTTGTATTTGTTTTAAGCACTAGAATATTTATGCAAAGTTTCAATCCATTTGGATAAACCCTCGAAGAAAAAAGTGAGAAAATTGATTTTGACTAGGGTCGCCCCTAGTCCAAAATTGAAAATGTATTTCCTACTTGGTTCTTTGCTCAAAAAATTTTACGATTTTTTATTTGTATTAGTTTTAAGCACTAAAATATTTGTGCAAAGTTTCAATCCATTTGGATAAACCCTCGAAGAAAAAGTGACAAAATTGATATTGACTAGGGTCGCCCCTAGTCCAAAATTGAAAATGAATTTCCTTCTTGGTTCTTTGCTCAAAAAAATTTTGCGATGTTTTATTTGTATTTGTTTTAAGCACTTAAATATTTATGCAAAGTTTAAATCCATTTGGATAAACCTTCGAAGAAAAAAGTGACAAAATTGATTTTGACTAGGGTCGCCCCTAGTCCAAAATTGAAAATGTATTTCCGACTTGGTTCTTTGCTCAAAAAAATATTAGGATGTTTTATTTGTATTTGTTTTAAGCACTTGAATATTTATGCAAAGTTTCAATCCATTTGTATAAAACCTCGAAGAAAAAAGTGAGAAAATTGATTTTGACTAGGGTCGCCCCTAGTCCAAAATTGAAAATGTATTTCCTTCTTGGTTCTTTGCTCAAAAAAATTTTAGGATGTTTTATTTGTATTTGTTAAAGCACTAGAGTATTTATGCAAAGTTTCAATCCATTTGGATAAACCCTCGAAGAAAAAAGTGACAAAATTGATTTTGACTAGGGTCGCCCCTAGTCCAAAATTGAAAATGTATTTCCTACTTGGTTCTTTGCTCAAAAAAATTTTACGATGTTTTATTTGTATTTGTTTAATGCACTAGAATATTTATGCAAAGTTTCAATCCATTTGGATAAACCCTCGAAGAAAAAAGTGAGAAAATTGATTTTGACTTGGGTCGCCCCTAGTCCAAAATTGAAAATGTATTTCCTACTTGGTTCTTTGCTCAAGAAAATTTTGCGAT